AACACTTGACACACAGATAACCTTCAGTGAGTGCATGCACAGCTCGGAGCCTTAACCTTATCTCAACTCAGACAGGTGACCAGTGAAACAACGGAAAAAATAAACACTAAGAAAGAAGAGAGAAAGAGAAAGCCTTAGAAAAAGTTTGAATTTCATATCATTATTCTTACCTATGATGGGAGCCAGGCGGAAAATATCAGACAGACGGCTGTTGACGGGTTCATATGGAGAATCTTCCAAGAAATCATTACCTTTGAGGGAAAAAAAAAAAAATTGTTAGACAGACTAAGGTATGTTTGTGGGTGGATGTGTAGGTAGGTATAGTCACAGCAGGTGTTTTTCCTCCAGGTTTATGCCTGTAAAAGGAAAGTTTTAGTCGCTGTTGCGTGCTTCCTTGATTAATACTGCGTCTCTTTAAAACATTTATCAAAGACTTGGCGCACTTTGAAAAGTGTCCTGGGATAACTTTTGCTATGATGAGGTCCTATATTTATAAAAATTGATTGATGGATAGTTGGATTTGTTTTTGAGCCCCCCCCTCACGTTTAGTTTACTCTCCCCTCACCCCTCACATTAGCCCGCATGTGACACGGGTTATTTGGGTCAGTCGATATCCACGCTGGCACACAACACCATGCTTGATTAGGCAGGTTGGTCAGCTGCGTTGCACAACTGGAAGTTGACTGTCCAGCCGTGGTCTGGATGTAGTTTAGGAACAAAAAAGGCCCTGCTGCTATGATCTCAACACTTTAAGATGGCACTGCTAGCCAGTCAGCCAGCGCTGAGGGGCTTCATGCTCCATTACCCTGTAGGAATAGTGATTATGTGGGACAAAAAGTACCTCCGCTCTGTAAGACGGGCTGTGAACCAAGTCCAGAGGCCAAATGTGAATGACTGTTAAGTGATTGTGCATGATCTTATTGAAACGTTTTAGGACGCAAATCCGCATGGGCTACTTTTTGAGTTCTGTGTTTGGGGGTTAGAGGGACGAAAGGGTCAGAAACCTGGATCAGCTAAAGACCATTGCCAGGTCCACTATGTTATCAGTGGGATCTCAGTTTCTAGAATTGAAAAAAAAAAAGTCTGATAGAGTTGATGGTTTTACAGCAGCACTGTCTTATTCTGGGATTATAATGGAATAAGGGTTTTCTATACATTTTGTAAAATGTGTAGACAAAACCACTTAACCCACCTTGTAACGTCTGATATATCCCCCAGTAAATGCGCAGACAGTTTTTCTCTTTTTTCATTCCCCTTTTACACCGACAGTTGTACAGCGGACTCTGTTTGAGCGCGTCCATGGCGCTCCGGCACTCGTCTTTGGCCTCCAGGCCAGCCACCATGGTGAAGTTGGTCTCCTTGCCACCGCCGACCACGCACTGCCTCATGGTGCGGTACTTGGTGCTGCACGCCTGCTCCTTTAGACACTGCTCACTGGCCCTCACACAGTCCAGCCGAGCGCGCAGGTTCTCCTCGGCGTAACACAACACATCTGTAAGCAGAAGTCACAATCAGAAATGCGCTTTGAAAAAAGAAGTAACTAGTTTCTCATGTAATAACTTTACGACCTGCTTTTATGGATTAAGACATTAATCTTTACGAGCTTTACGAGACACATCTGTAACATCGAAACATATCTGTCCGCGCAAAAGACTTTAAAGGTTTCCAAGAATAAAACTAACAGTTTCATACATGAGACAAATACCTCGTCCACTCAGCTTATAGGGTATACTGACAGTTTTATTGATACGAAGTGAAAATTTTCTTCCTATGTTCACTTTAGCTGGATCAGACGCGACACTTTCGCTTCACTTTGCTCTCTTGAAACAGTTTGAAACACTATATCCTCTGAGGACTATCCTGGAAAGCAGCCACCAGATCTACCAAGTTCATTATTAATAACAGAGATACATATTTAACCCTTTAACATATCATGTACTATGAAATGATGTGGTATCAAACTGGCCGCTCACCGTGGAGAAAGAGTCAAACTTACCCATAAGAGGCAGAAGGGCATACAGTACAGCGAGGATCATTGTCTCCCTTTCCGTGTGAGACAACGCGTATTTGGCGGAAATTAACAAACTAAAGGCGACTTAATAAGAGTTTAATTCCCAGGGTACCTCCGCGATACTGGAATCCATTGAAAAGACGAAGCAATGTGCGCCCCGCTGTATACAACTCATCCAGCTCGCCTCATGCGGGAAATAATCCTCCTCTAAAAAAGTGCCGATTTTCCACAGTTTTAGTCTCTTAAAAGTCTCTGCGCAAAACTATGAGCTCCTTTACTCCTTTCCCTTCCGCGAGGGTGGTCTTCACACCGCCGGTAGACAAAAAAGAAAGCGGGTCAGAGCAGCAGGGAGAAGCGGAACGGCCGAGTGTCCTCCAACTCCAGCCAGTGTGGATGCTTTGCGTCTGTGCGTCTGAGCGCACACAGCCAACTGGAGCCCCACTGCTGTCTACAGCGCATTCAGCAGCAGGAGGAGAGTGCCAGCTTCCCCCCTTCGCTATGAACTACAGCAATCTGATCGTAAATTCAAAAAGATATTGGTCATCTATCACTGCAAACTCACTACCCGATCATGACAGTATCACAATAAAAGCAGGGGAAATATATGAAGTTCAAGATTACGTACGGGCACGGGAGACGCTCAGAGATAATCATCTTGGAAGGTTACTGTCCCTAGAGAGTTTGACACTCAGACTGAATCTCTTACGGGGAGTCGTTTTGTTCAGATTAGCCTACTTTTAATACAGACCACATACTCTACAAAACTAATTTAGACCTAATAATAATCACTTCCCCAGTCCATTAAAGCTGCGCTACTTTTAAAACCAAAGTGTGCATGTGGTTACATTCAAGGCTTAAATTAAACTTGCAATCTGTGTGTAAGTGTGTGTGGTCTGGTGTGACACTCGAGTCTAACTGTGCTGACATGGAGAGGGCAAAGAGCATGACTCAAGTGCATTTATGACATGATTAATAGTCCCTGGTAACGTGTAGGAGCTTATATAGCGATTTGTTAAATCTGGATCCACTTCCAGCCTGGAGTCACTTGATCCAAAAAAGAAAAAAAATGAATAGAAATAGCATGTCTGCCACACTCTCCTCAATGCATATGATATTTCAAACATGTGTGTGTGTGTGTGTGTTACTGAGTGGCTCCTCCTACTTTGCTCTGATGATAATCCAATTTCTAAATGACAGAAAGTGTTATGCAACAGTGACTGTCAGCTCCAGAGAGGTTGGCTTATTTGATAGGCATGGATGATGAAACCCTTGAGGGGCTTGTATTGTAAAATACAGCCTGAGAATAAAAATGTGTTTTTGATACTTGGTTAAAGTGAAGCAGGCTGTCTGCGCTGCGCTCAGTCCTGACACAGCAGAGTGGACACTGTGGAGATTGTCGCCATCTGTTGGTGAGATTGGAGTAGACCACCTATTAAAGATAAAAAATATAAAACCTGTCAGACTTAATCACATATTTCCTAATCTACATTTTATATTAGCATATAATTTTAAGCACTGCTGTCTGAGTAACTGTGTTCAAATGATAAGACATGCACAAGCAGCATGATTATCATAACATTATGCATCTTCTCATCCTTAGTGCATTGATTGTCTATAAGGTCAATTCATAGGCTAATCCACTTGGCTAAATACATGGGACCTGACTATGTCAAGAAGACTCACTCTTCCGCAAAGACTGGGATAAATCAATCAGGGATACTGGTGTTCATTGCAGTAAATCAATCCAAGCACACACACATGCAGAAAGAGGGAGAGAGGAAAGATTAAATGTAATAGTTTATTTATTTTAAGTGAATGATTGGAAAGGGAATCTGTGATAAGGAGGTTACAATTGTTAACTTGGAGAGGTGAGGCCGTTTTATTTCCCAAATAGACATTCAATTCGAAGAAATTTAAAAAAAATATATAAAAAAAAGCAGATAAGTGTCCTCAGCTATTTTCCCATTGAACATGACAAGATGAGAGAAAGAAACTGGTTCACATGAACGACGGGCTCAGACTACTATCTGGGATAATTGTCTGCTCGCAATTTGATGACTTGGCTCTTCTGAAGTCTCCAAAGGGAGCCTTGCCAGTCAGGGGAAGGCACAGTCTGGTGATTTATGAAAAGGCTCAATCAATATGTGATATTAATTTTGCAAATGAATGTCAGAATGATGTAGTCCCCGGGTCATTTTACGTTTCACACCGTAATGTGCTTCATGGCACCGGATCAGAAGATTTTTTTTTTTTCGGTCCCAGTGGTGAAACGAGGAAATTGGTCAAAGTGAGGAATTGTGTGACAAATGTATGAAGCGGGTCTCAATGGATTAGTGGCTGGAAAGCTGACTGTGCCGATCACAGACTGTGTATGCTGTCTATATTGCCGATACAGCACTCCATTAACAGTGAAGTGAGCGTATTTTTCTTGTAAACCAGATTGAATAACACACCAAATACAGCAGATACGAAACGCGGACATATACCTCAAAAGGGAAATCATACTTGTATGACTCAAATTATTTAAAATAGTCTAACCCCACGAAAAAAAAAAATCAAACTCATGCTTATTTGAGATGTGTGTAACAGAAACTCACCGGTGTCGGCCGCCAGGTACGGCGAACTACACATTTTCAAATAAATGTCATAGGAAGATATAACCCGCCTTAATCAGCCGCTGATTGGCTGATAGTTGTTACCTTTCTTCTTTGATTGGTTCATTCAGAGCGGTTTAGTTAAAGGGGTCGCGGTTCGTTGTACGGATGGCGAATTTGACTGGTAACGGTTATGCTGCGTTCGAATTTCCTCGGAAGTCAGAATTCCGAGCTGAAAATGACGTCACACCCGAGTTACCAACGTTTCAGTTACCAAGTCAGGAAAATGTAAAATCGGAGGCGAAAACAAGATGGCCACATCTGTGAAAGTTATTTCAGCGCTTGCCTTGTCCGAATATAAGGCAAACCCTAAAATAGCTTACGTAGATGCAGCCATCTTGTTTCCGCCATAGAATACACGGTCTATTCCTCCGAAATCTGACTTTTGAGGTAACCCGAACTCAGCATTAGCAATGAACGGTAGGATCAGCCAATCAGCTGCAGGGAAGATTATGACTTGGGCTCGCCCTCGGCAAGTCCGTCGGAAATTGGTAACGAAGCAAAGCTAGCTAGTAATTTTACTTATTTAACTTTCATTTATTTGTTTTTTTTCCTTTTGTATCATTGTACAAGGCCACATATTGATGCAAAATGAGTTTGGACTCTTTCTTCCAGCAAGTACTGCTCACAGAGCAGCAGTTATCTAAGCAGACTCAAAAACTTAAAGAAGGTAGGCTAATGTGAATGCTAGGTTAGCAAAATCACTCCTTATCACATCGTACCTCTACAGAATGAAAAAGTCCGAAGCCATGTATGCTGGCTATGGAGTTGTTACAGTATCATGGGTGTGCCTCGGAAATCCAGGCCTGCTGCAAGCTTTCTCTTCAAGGCCAAATCAATATGAACAGCATACTTGTCACTAATTATCATCATCTTGTATCTTACAGTCAAAGTAGCCATCATCAGATCCAAGGAGCAGATCAAGAGCTCCTCTGAAAACCTTGAAAGGCTCAAAACAGAAATTGGTGAAAAGGTGAGGAAACAATGGTAACTGAGGATGAGTCCTGCACTTTTTAAAAATGTATTTAAGACAGAGGTTCTCGAGGCCCACTGTTCTGCATGTTTTGGATGTTCCCCTGCTCCAACACACCTGATTCAAATGATCAGCTCGTTATCAAGCTCTGTAATGGCTTAATAATGAGCTGATCATTTGAATCAGGTGTGTTGGAGCAGGGAAATGTCCAAAAAATGCAGGACAGTGGGCCTCGAGGACTGGACTTGAGAACCACTGATTTAAGATAATGTTTGAATTATGAATATTGTGACTGTAGGAGCCACTATGGTACAGTGCAGTGTGCCTGTGAAAATGCCTTTACATTTGTATGTCACTGGTTAATGTTACCATTGCATGTTAAATTGGACAGGCTCATATTTGCCCGGTTTGGACGGTGTCGTTTTTTGCATGTTAACATCTTGCATAGTTCCAATTTAAGCTTTGTGATAGTTTATCTGGATGTCATATACTATGTTCCTCAACTTTAACTCTATGGACCATTACACCAGCCATTCAACAATACACTATAGTTTATAGTTTGTATTGTAATATTGTAAGCTTTTTTTTCCAACAATTTTTTGCAAACATAACACAAAAAGTGTAAAAAGAAACCCCCCAAAATGTAATGATGGCTTACCCTGAAGCAGCACAAGTTTTTAGTAGCATAGACACAGGAGGATAAGAAGAGCATATTGGCATATTGATCAGCTGATCTGCTTTATGATTGAAAACACTTAATCATTAACCTCATTCATTTCATCAACAGTGTAAATTGCGAGTGCCACTGTAAAATCAATGGCTAATTTCCACCGGATAACATTAGTGAAACCTTTTACCGCGTGTGAGGTATGATGTCAAAGGCCGCCTCTTTGACCCCCTCAGAAATATTGCTAACTTCTTCCTGTGCTTTTGAAAGTGGACATCCAATCAAAAGAGCCAAACATGAGGCTAATTAGAAAAGCTGCTGAATACTGCACAACGTTGGAATCTGATCTGCGTGAGAGCACACAACAGGGTTACCTTTTCTGACCTAGCAGAAGGTAATACCGTAAGTGTTTACATCAGACAGATATGCAGGGTGTGTTTACTGCACATTGTGTTTACAGCTTCCATGATGTGAAGTCTTAATGTTTATGAGAGCTGTCCTGAGATAATTACAGTGTTTAGGAAACTTGGAAGCGGATTTGCTCACTGAGCTCCTACGCTAGCGTCTAAGAAACAATAAACTTCTATGATGACAGCTGAACCAACAGACTGGCAATTTACCATCAGTCATGCCTGAAACGTATTTGCAAATCAGCCTACATCAATTCCACTTTGTATATGATTTGGTAATTTTCTTTGGAGTTAGCCATATAATCAACAAGCTGAGGACAGGAACATGAACAAAAGAGGTTGAATATGAATAATAGAGACAGGAACGTATATAGCCAAGAAAAGAACATTTGTACTTGTTATGTATAAAGAATCAGTAGGCATGTATATTTCAGTGTACCTCTGTCAGACTGTTTCATAACCACTCATCCTTCTCTGTGTGCTCCAGGGTCAGCAGTTGTCTGTGATGAGGCTGCAGCATGATCTGATGAAGAAACACGAAAAACAGATGTTGGAGAAAACTGAGGAGCTGCTCTGCCAGAAGAACCAACTACAGCAACATCTGGTGAGTTTAAACCCTGAATCAACATTTGCGTCTCATTTCATTGAGAACTTGTTAATTCAATCCAAACATCAGATATGCGCAGACTGATTCTCACCTCTGTTTAGGATGTAAACTTAAGCCTGGTGGAACAAACAAAAATCATAGTTTCAAGTATCTCAACAGAATATTTTGCTCCAAACATATTGCACTCAATCTGTTATTGTGTCTACTTTCAATCCATCAGTTTGTGTATTCAGTGTCAAAACAGGGAAGACTGCCGGTTGCATTTCTCCCTTGGGGCTGAGGTGAGGTTTTACTTTAGTTTTTGTCCAAACAGAAGCCCAAACCCCCAAAGACAACATTTTCACTTCATATTTTCACTTCGTACAAATCATGAAATGTTTACACATATGAAAAGAGAAGAACTAAATATGCAGTATTTCATCTTGATGATTTACTGGCACATTTTGATTTACAATGATTTGCTTTCAGTCGGCTAATAAATATTTACCCAAGACAAGTATTTCAGCTGATTACAGATACATATTTATTATGACACAGAAAGTATACAAGTTGTAACACCCAGTGTCTGTGTTTGTTTGAAACAAAACCGCATGCGTTCAGTGAGCTCAATGAGACAGAGGTAGAAAAAAATCATTCAAGTGCTTAACACTGTCTCATGACCAAGATTGTATCTGTATTACACACTGAATCATCACTCATGGTAGCATTTAGAGGTATTTAAACCGAACTGAGGCTATGTTAATGATATCTCTGGAGGCTATTCTCATCCGTCTTTCATACCAGACCAAGATAAAGAAGGAGTCCACTGAGGAGAGAGAAAAATTCCTGCAAGAAATCACGAAGTTCAACTGTGACTTCAGCCTCGGACAAAACAGAGAGATGGAGTTTGAGAGCCAAACACGCGCTGAGATCCTGAACCTGGAGAGGGAGATAGAATCAATTCACAAAGGTAACTGAAGACTGTAAACTAGGGTGTTGTCAGGGTGAAGTCTGGTTATAAGTTGTAGAGGAGGCTAAGACTTTTCCTTTTAGCTGCATTTTAAAAAATGTCCATGTAATATCCTTGAGTGGTTTGGCTGGTAGTTGAGAATTAAAAGACAGGGGTACAATGTTGGGGTAAAGGGATATCAGGTTTATTTCTGACATGTAGAATTTCTTCAATCCGATGATAAAAGCCTGCTCATGTCCAGTTTGATTTCAAATAATACTGATTATAATGAGACTTGGCTTTAAGGGTTGTGTGTGCTTGAGCATTTCAAGGAGTAGGTACCTGCTAAAACTACTTGTGGATTCTCATTTTCACTGTCATATCCAATAAAAAAAAAAGAAGGAAGGAAAAACAAAAAAACTGGCTAAATGTTTCTGTAAAAGACAAGTCCACAACTCAACTGTGGCTCTAAGGAGCCGGAAGTATAAAGCTAATAAGGTTTACAGTGTCTTTCATTTTTGGTTGATATTTAAGTTCTGTTAAGCCCACACTCCCAAAACAGTGTTTTTTACACCAACATTTTAAATTGGATTTGTTAAAGTTAATAATTATACAGATTGTATTTGCATGTTGTTTGAACAGTTTTTATGAGTTTTGAAAGTTTAAGGGTGAAGCTTCCATGACAAGCAAGTAGATGTGTTGCTAAATGTAAATAAAGCTTTATATATAAGATGTTAAGCATTATTTTATCTGAAATCCATAGATTGGCTTTTTGTCTATACAATTAAAATGAGATTTTTTTTTGTTTGTTTTTTCTATTGGGAAATATAATGTCATGAGCCAGGGTGAAACAAATGGAAAAAGGACCCAAGTGCAGATAAAAAAAGGATTTATTAAACATAACTAAATGAAAAGCAACAAAAAATTTGATTCAATTGGTCTAACTGAAAAATACAGAGGAGGGCAAACTGAGGAAATAAAACAAGACTATACACACAGGGAATTAACTACTACAAAATAAAACAGGAAACAGTGAAAACTGATCTAAAGAATAAAACACTGAGAAAATGAGGGAAGCGGGGTCAGACACAAACTGAAAACTCACAAGACAGGACTACAGGGTAACAGGAACAACAGGGAACAGAAACATTAGTGAAAACACACAAAATGCAATCAAATGGAACCAGGAGAAAACTAAATAAACAGAACACATCATGACATACAAACTCAATATCACGTTAAGCCCTTTCAGTGATTTATTTTATCCTCAGTCCTATGTGAGGCCATTCATGAAGCCGAGTTCTTGTCTGTGTTCTTCCTATTCAGAGATGGAGCAGATGAGCAACAGGAACAGCCACATGATCTCCATGCAAGAGCAGAAGAAAGCACTCCAGCTTGAGCTAGAGAGCCTAGGAGACATACAGAAAGGTGAATACTCTTAAGTTCACTGTATTTAAGGTTTTTTGGTTCTGGGAGGCACATGTGAATGCTGCTGTCACCCTGTCTTTATTCTTTGCTTTTCAAACACTGTTTTCACTCACAGCCTTCAGCTGAGCACCAGTTTTTCATCTTATTTTTCTAGCATATTCGGTTTGATGGCAGTAAAATCTAGAGAATATTGGCCAGTCCCCAAGGTCTTATTTCCTGGCATCAAAATTGAGTTGAAAGGCAGGTTATGAACAGTTTTAGAATTGATGTGTGACTACATGTAGTTGTGTTTTTGAAGCTGAAATACTAAACTGTAACATGTGCAGCAGTGTCGTCTGTTGTTCACCTGTTTTAATGCACCTTTGACTCATGGATCTCTCTCAAAATACTCTGCTAGATACTGATGCACTAATTTGACTGTCCAATGCATTCAGTTTCAGCATCCTACAGGAGCATTTTACCACCTGATCTTGTACTGTGTTATCTTAACTGATTTGATCAATCAATCAATCAGTCAGTCAGTCCTTATTTACGGAGCACTTTTCATGCATGGATATACAACACAAAGTGCTTTACACACATAAAAAAAATAGAAACTTAGATAAACAATTACAAATAAAGCCCCCCTCTCCCACCCTCCATACTACACACACACACACACACACCTGCACACTCTTACTACTGACAATAGGAGTCATGGCATGACACTGAGGATTGAGGAAGCGCCATCATTGGGGCCATCCACACTGGGAGGAGTCGCAGGCTGTGCCACATGGGGCTCCAGTGCTCAGGCCCCCTGACCCCAACAGACAACAGCCAGCCGGGCTGAAGGGACCCAGGGACAGCACCCTCAGCAGCAGCCCAGACACAGCACCCAGTGTGGAGGAACCCCCTAAGGAAATACTAAAACTAAAAGCATAACATAGGATTAAAAAAATACCCTGAGAAAAAAAAGGAAAAAGGGTGAACAGTTTAAAAGTATAAAAAGTACGTAAGATTAAATAGTACCAATAATAGGTAAAACAAGTAAAATAATTAATTAATATAATCTTAAAAAGCAAGATAGAAGCAACAACATAAAATAAACCCACATAAGAATGTAAGAAGAATTTAAATTCTAGTTAAAAGTCTGATTAAACAGGTAGGTCTTTAACCTTCAGGTTACACTTCCAGACTATGATGAAATTAAAGCTGTTGTTGTGAAAAATCTTGCTGCTCTGAAGTGCAAAATAAGGTAGAAGGCTGAACATATCTGGATAAGAAAATGGGCTCATGGATACCAGGGCCAAACAGCAGGGCCTTAAGTTTTTGCATGAAAGAATGTGGCCCAAAGATTCAGGTAGCCTGAGCTGGACATGACAGTAAGCACATGCCATTGTGAGTAAATCAGCAGTTATTGTAACCATGTCGGTGCAGCCGAGTCAATTTGTGTTTGATTCATTACTCTTGACTGCAGACCTGGACCGGCAGTTGAGTGAGGCTGAAGCAGTGACAGATTCCCTGAGAGCAGAGAGTGGGTTCATGAGTCAGAAACCTCTCACTGACAGCACCTGTCTGAGGTACGTGTCACCAGCTGCCTGCACACTGAAAGAGTCTTTTTTTATTGGACGTCTGGTAACAGTGTACAACACCTGAAATACTTGGGAATACATTATGAATACAATCCTTTTGAGACAAAAACAAGTGGACAATAAACGTTTAAGTGTCATGAAAAAGATAAAAGCAGTCTAGTCAGAGTTATTTAAAAGCTCATGTAAAACTTCCTTCAAGATTTTACTTGTTCAGCTGTTGTGATGTTTCCTTACCCAAGCATTTGATGTTATGCAAGGATGTGATTAACTCAAAAGCTGTTATCGACCACCTCGTTCGCGCCGGTGAGGCGGCGGAGGGCGGCGAGCCCCGCGCAGTTGTATTTTCGTCTGGCGGAGCCTGGCGTAAGGCGAGTTTGGTATTTTCGTGGACTGAGTCGCACGGAGGCGAGCCGAGATCCGCCAAGCTGGGCGTGGTGGCGTGGCAGGGGGAGGTGTTGACAGAATCAGCTGGCGCAGTGACATTTTCGTGCTCGCCACAGGCGTGTGAAGTGCGCTGAAAGCTCGCCGATTCAAACCTGGTCAGCTTTCAGCGCAAGGCGGAACGCAGCTGGTCTAGTAGTATTTTGGTAGACCGGCGGCGTATCGACATACGTCACTGATGCCTCACCGGCAGGTTTCCACAGTGTCAGGCAGATTTCAGTGCAATAAATAATCATCAACAACTATTAATCTGAGTCAGCACATACATTTAGATCTATATCGATATATTCCGATCTATATCTGATCTGATGAGCGCGTTTGGCACGCGTTTGGCACGCGTTTGGCACGCGTTTGGCACGCGTTTGGGCACACAACCTGTCCGAATCAATACAGCTGAAACTGCATCAAATTAAATTAAATATCTAGTAAATAAACACACATGATGAAGTTAACAAGATATGTAATGTGTCTCCCTCCTTTTCTTTCTTCCTCTTATTTCTCGCACAGCTCGACCTGGACACGTCTCCGTGTCCTCTGTCCGTCTTGCTTGCTGCTGCGGCTGAACAGATGATTTGTTTCAGTGCTCAGATGCGTGATCTACTTTAAGCCGACATACGGATATTATAATATTCAGTTTTGGGGGCCAAATTTATTTTATATGCCAACATCTATGAAAGAAAGAGCCAGGCCACGGAACGCGATGCGTCATTTATGCACAGATGGTTCCGATTTTAATGCCATTTTTGGAGTTTATGTTGTGATCTGTGCGCTAAACCCACCTTTGTCACGTGAGGTTTGAATATATGCAACTTTATGTGAGTGTCTTTATTTGTGGAAAAGGGTGTTTGTCTTACCAGTGGGTCCAACATTACGCACACCAAATCCATCTGTGCTCAGATGAGAGAGTGTGGAGGACACTTGTTGAGCAGCTGCCCTCTGTCGCCATCGTGTGGCATAACTGTCTTCAGACATCTCATGATCTCTTTGACTACTTCATGAAAATAGTAATACGCCTCGCCGGTGGCGGATTTAAAGGCAAGGAGAGGAGCTTATGTGATTGGTGAAAACAGGTCTCGGCTGTGTTAAACACGCTATACGCCCTCTCTCCTCCCCGTCTACGACTTATGCTGCCGGGAGGAGCTGAGTTAGGGAGGGGGGATACTTACGCCGGGCTGCGCGGCTCACCAAAATACCAAAATGTGCCTGGGAACGCCTTGTCAGCGCGGCGGATCTGATTGACGCTGCGCTTGCGGCACGTCTCCGGCGAGGCACCAAAATAGAGCCCCTTGTGTCTATGTTGAAATCAAGAATGTCACACATAACAGTCAAATCAGGAGTAGAGCTAATTGCTACCACTGATATGACACTTAGTGGGATAACTTTTTTTCCTGTATCTCTGTCCATTACTTGATTCAATGCAGCAAGCTGCAGGCCCGTTAAATAGAAGGTGTTATTTACGAGGAGAAGAAGTGAATCATGTCGTCAGAAGTGCTGAATAAACTGTGTCTCTCTCTCTGTATCCTGCTGGCTCCAATCCAAATCTAGAAGTGTAAATAACAGAGCATTAAGACCATTTGGCTTAATTAATGCTTTGATCTGCGGTGTATTTCATTTAGTCAACAAGTGGAGAACAGACTGGGGCTAATGTGATTGATGCAGAGAGGTTTGTAAGGCAAAATAAGTGAGGGGTGGACACCTTAGCATTTACGCTAAATGATTCTCCAGCTTCTTTCAAACTCTGGTTTTTGGTTATTGTAAGTAGAAACACACACCCTGTTTTAAATGAAAAAAATGTATTTTTTTTAAATTCATTTATTTTCTGTTCCTAATTATCACATTGTTTCTAAAGGATATCACAAAATACACACGTAAGCCACATGGTAAATTATGCACCATGTTCAAATCAGTTTTAAACAATGTTTATTAATAATTATAAGAAACCCCAGAAGGGTTGAGTTATGGAAAAAAAACATCTGTGAGAACATTTGATGCACTTTGAGAGTGTCAAAAATGTAATTTTAACTCTTGTGCTCACAGGAATTCTTTCTGCAGACGGCTGTTCCCAGTTTGAGCTGTGAAACCAGCTATTCCTTAGCTGTATGTGCAAATATCACATAGCAGTGTCAAAGTCTCGTGTGTGAAAGCATACTGTTGTTTTGAACTCTCAATGTAGACAATTATTAATCACATCACTTTTGGGAAAATTCAGGGTCTTTTGATAGCACGTTATTTCAACCTTCAACTTATAATGCACCATAAGCACATTTATAAAGCCCTATAACGCATTAATTAGGCTTGTTTGTGTTTGTTATTTAAAAGAAAGAAGGATAATTTAACCCCCTTATAACACCCCAGTTTTGAAACAAATAAAATGCTGCATAAAATGTTCTAAAAAACTGTGTTTGGTGGTTTGTAGATCACTTAAACTGTATATTTAACTAACCCCAACCTGCCTCAATATTGTATGTGCTCATTTCAAGTATGATGGCATTCCTGTGCCGCGAACACAACAGAAAGATGAGAGCTTCTGCTTTGTCCACACAGGCTGCTAAAGTGCTTCAAATAGCTTGTGATTTGAAACAGCGTGTCTGTAAAATACATGAACACAAAGACTGACTGTTCTCGGCAGTGGTTGCCGAGCAGCTCCTGACTCTGATGGCTTTAAAAAGTGTAGTTTTTTTGTTGTTTTTTTTGTTTGTTTTTTGTTGTTGTTGTTGTTGTTTGTTTGTTTGCTTTTAAGGTTTTAAATTTTACTTTTAAACCAAGCACATTAACCCTTGTTTTTAAAGGTTCTATATAAATAAAGTTATTATTATTTTATTTTAATTATATGCTTCTTTAGAAAATATTTGTGAAATTTTGATGGACAGTTCTGATGAAAAATCCAAAAAAGCATTTACAATGAATAAATTAGCAGCAAGCACATTTGCCACAAAGGATTTCACTGGAAGAATAGTGCCATAAATAGTCAGGGATTTTGTATCTTAAAATTGGGGGATGGGGGGATTTAAACAGGCCTAAAGCCTGAAAGAAGTCTAATAAAATCCTGTTTTATTAGCACACAGCAGATCGTTTATATATTTTGTGGTGCATCGTTTTATCGGACTAACAGTGATTTTTCATTTTCTGACAAAAACACTCATTCACTTCTTTGACAACTGGAAGTACTTGCCAAAACATCTCAGACATTTGTCTCCTGTTCTCTACAGACTCTGAGCCAGTTGTATAATATGAATGAAGGGTCTCCTTTATAGAAACATGACTGGTAGGAGAGCTGGTCCTCCATGTTCCTCCACAAAGAGACCTCCTTTATGTGATTAAAGACTGGAGATCAATAGTGTTCCAGGAAGGAAGGGTCATTGTTATTGCTGATGCCACTACTTTGGATAATGTCTCCTCAACAAAACTGTTGATGTAAAGTAATTGAAAAAAAAAAAAAAAACTATGCTGTCAACTGTTTCAAACCAATGTCAACCACTACATGACTTTAAATTCTCTATTTTCTTCCGTATTTGACTCATCATGTCTGTCTTCAGTTCGGAGAGAACTGAATATGTGGTGATGTCTGTATTCATTGTGTTTGCGTATTTGTTTTTTTTTTCCCTGTTCTTCACTGCCTCTGCATGTTCATCTCTTGTCCTGTTCTTTGCACCACCACCCACCCATCTCTGCCTTAAATCATGCATGTGAGTAGCATGTCCTGTTCATCCATCAGCCTCATTAAACATACTCGCTCCTTCATTACCCCTCAGCTTATTAGCCTCGGGAAGTGCTGAGGATGTGGCTTTAGAGGAGAGAGGCCTCCCCTCACTCATTCTTATGATCATCCATCGGAACTGAGACCATCAATCCTCTCTTCAACCACTGCAGTGTCTCTTTAAAACGCATATTTAACTCTCCGCTTATTGATTGTTGGAAATTGAATGCGTGTCAATTTGAATGAGTGCTACAGCCATTTAAAAAGTGTTCAGTGTGCAAAACAGGGTGGCTGCCACGATGGAAAGATACCTGAAATATGCAGTGCCTGAGATTGATGATTTAGGAGTTGTGTGGGTTTTATGATGTGTGGGATTTTCTTCACTGATATATTGCCGCTACATTATTTCTGAAGGCTCATTTGAAGGTATCATTGCAGTGCAGGAATATGATTTTAAACTGCCGAAACCACAGATATCTCAAGTGCTGTCCTAGGTGTCGAGCTGTTGGAAGCATCATTCTGCTGCTGCAGAAACAGCATGCTCGCCTTTTAAAATCTAATATGTAACTTCTGGACAGGGAAGTAAAAAAAACCGCAGTGTAAATGCAATTTAAGCTCAGCTGTTTTATTGTTTTCATTTAGTTCTAATAAAAGAAAAACAATTTAGTGGATAGTGCAGAAACTTGAAACACCCGGCATAAGAGTTAAATCACAGCCAAGGCATGACCCAAAGTCTAATACTTTTCACTGAACAAACTGAACGGGATAATATTGTTTTATGTTTTAGAAATACACAAAAGCTTTATTATTGCTTTACAAAAAAGTTACTGTTGAGTTTATATAGTAACTGCATACAAATCTACAATTTGCCATACAAATCTATTTGCGTGATGATATTTATAGCCTCTTTTTACATGTGATTTTCCATTTAGCAAACTTAAATGAAAAAAGGTTGAATTTAATATCTGAAATACATCAATATCATTAGTTTTTAAAGAGGAGATTATTGCCAAAGGATTGACTAAATGTTTAAACTGTTCACAGAGATAATAGCCTCTTTCTTGTCTCAATTTAATGTGAAGTCTAATAACTCTAAAGGATTATTCTTTTGCTCTAACTGGAGCAGTCAAGTATATCTTTTAGCATCACTCCAGTTAGATGGCTTCAGTAATACAAGGGAAAAGTCTACACTTGATTTAGTGCTGTCAGTTCACTATATGCTCAGTAATTTGTCCCTGAGGGGCCTATATGATCGTCACTGTGCAGCAAGGCCCTGTGGATGACATAGTTAATCACAGAATAAGAGAAACCTGACAATGAGTGCTGCAGCTTGTTAGAGTAGGGGGGCTAGTGAGCAATTTGGATAGTCTCTTAATACTTCTCTCTGCCCTATCTCCTATAGCTGTAGTTTTAAGGGATAATCTTCAGACCTTTGGCTTTCACAGAGCTGTGTGCCACCTCAAGATATCCCATTTTTCAGGTACAGTAGTTAATATGTCTAAAAGTGATGACAGAAATTGAAGGCAGCATGTATGATGGAGAGCCAAACATGGGACCATGAGATCAATACTGATTTATGGATTTAACATGTTACCTATATGATGGCAAATATCAGAGAATTCAGATTTTGAGTTGGATGAATGAGAATGGACCTTTGTGTCTGCATCATGTATTGATATGACAATAGCAATCAGGAAGTTTCTACACATGGTTAAACAAGTTTGATCAATATCAGTGCAGAATACTCTTTGCTCAACTAGGATTCTCCCTGTGCAGCAAACAGTGCTGAGTAAAGAGTCAGAGCACACTCTGGATAATGACATTGTTATAAATCAACTTTGAGTACTGTGTTTTACATTATCATCCTTTCAAATATCAGAATCTTACCACATTTCATAAAATGTTTGATGAAATTATATATGTATTTGTGGTGAACAGCACTGGTTAATAATGGGCCCAGATCATCAGTCAGGCTCTCTCTGTGTTCTGGTTCAGCCACCAAACTTCAAGTCTTGAGCTTCCAGGTTTTAAGTTGAGTTCGAGTCACCAAAGAAGTATCTGAGTTGAGTCCAAATCTAGATTATCGGAGTTCAAGTCTGAGTCAAGTCCACATTTTTACTATTAGAAATCATTAAATCATACAGTCTTACTGATCCTGTTGGCTTGTCCAGAGATTTACATGTTCAGTGAAGATGCGGGGCTGACCATCTGTTTTCAGTTTGTCCCCATCTTCTCCTTGATGGTTAAACTGCTTTTATGCAACAGACATGTCTAACTGCTTGTATTTGTAGTAAAAATCTTTAATATCAGAGTTTTGTGGCATTTCCTTTGGTGTCCTGTCAGGAACAATGCAGAGCAAAACAGCATGTGAGCAAATAAACAGATGAACACCGCTGTCAGAACTGAATAGTTCTGGAGGGTCACAGAGAACAAGAAATTTACGGAAAAGCAAATAATGTCCTTTGTGTTCACATCCAGTTAATTCAGTCCAGATCGAGTCCAAATCCAAGTCATCAGAGCTCAAGTCTTGGTTGAGTAATTACTCCTAAAAATCAGGACTTGAGTACGTATCCTGGGATTAAGTGTAAACTGGATTGAATGTAGAAAGATTTTGACATATGAGTGTTTGTGCATATGAATAAACTTGAAGATAGAAATAAAAGCAAACTTTCTCATCTGAAGAAATCGATCTGGTCAGTCACTTTGAAATATATTTGACATGAGTGATTTGTCCCACTATCGGCATTAACATTAAAGTTGGAATAAGTTTTACTTTCATATAGTTTCATTGGCTTATTTTTCTCACCAAACAAACAGAAGAAAAAAAAAAAAAAAACTTACAAACACCAGGTATATAGATGCAAATGAAAACATCAGTATGTTTGAACTTCATGCTTCTGAACAAGGACTCTTGAAGCTTTCCTTTTATGTTTCCTCTTTTATAACTTTTAACAATTGTTTTTTGCCACTGACATGGGTTTGTTGTTTTTCACCAGGCTGAGAAAGGAGCTGGAGATGCACAAAGAAGGAGAGCTGGAGCTTCTCAAAGAGGGGCTCATCGCAGAAATACGCTTCCTGAAGTCAGTAAGTTATCTAATGAACAAGGCTTTTACTCAGGATGAAATAATATGCTGTAGATAGGACAAATGAGTCATATCTTACCAGAATTAAAGAGGATTCATGGCACGTCAGATCAGGGTAGCAATAATGATATCTTTCAAACACAGATAAGGTGTGGAAAATTGTTATTAATCTTCAAAATGTAAAAATGGGAGGAAATTCATTTTTTGCTGAGGCAAAGTCATTCATTCAATTTTCTTTTGTATTTCAGAAGCTGGAGAGCAGCCAGGGGAGAGAGCAGCGTTAGGTTTGGTACAATGGAGGTACAGGAGTGTTTCATTGATTCAATGATTGTCTGTTCAGTGAAAAAACATATACGCTGATTAAAAGTGAAGAGAGACAGGAGAAGCAAAAGGACAGGAAACAAACAGATGTTATAAAGTGTTCATTACATAGGTTCCTGAAAAGAGCAAATCTCATCTTTAAAAAACTAAAGTCAGTTTGTTTCACTATCTTTACAGCTTTAATCTGTAACTGTAGATTTATTATTTGAGGTAAAATATTTCAAGTGGAGCTTGTTTTCTTTGTGATTTCTTTACTCCTCAACCTTAACCTTAATGGGCAGTTTTTCACCATCTACAAGGTTTTTGAATTATTAGTACGATTTATATAATTTATTTTTTATTATTTATTTATTTTGCAATAGACTGACAAAAAACATACACTAACATACTGAGCAGAATCCTGTGTACTCTGCTGCATGCAACTAAAGACCACATTCAAAAAGTGATAAAATACTTCCTTCTAGTGGACAAAGAGTAACATTGCAATGAAAAAGGGTTTATCATCCAGAGTACTGGGACATGCACAGGCTCACACAGGTGAGAACATATCAGCCTGTAAACATAAATGAAATATTGATGGTAGTCATCTCTGAATAATATGTCATTGCTTAATTGTAAGTCAGTTAATGAAATAGATTTTCACTCATCTGTGTTTCATCAGAAACTAGTTTACTCCACCACACTTAGAGGCTAAGTTTATTATCTACACTTGTCCCTAAGAGAAAAGCTAAAAATACTTAAAAACCAACAACAAATACACTGGAAGAATTAAAAAAAGAAACTCTAATATGCTTGCAAATGTTGAGTGCTCAGAACTATTTAACATCACAGACAGAACAATGTAATATATAAATTTTATAAAGGTTAATCCTGATTTCATATCACTCAAATTACTGCCTCAGTTTAAGATGAAACGACACCTGTCAGGATCCTCTTCAAGTTCTGCAATTAGTCAACGCCACTATTTCCAAATGCTCAAGTGATTAGAGTCAACACCACTTAAGCAGAATTGTCCGAGCCCTTAAAAACACGCTGTTGTAAAAAGATAATTCTCAGAGAAAGTTTCTCTCCTCTTTTGTTGAATGCAGTTGCAGGGATTTACTTCCTATTTCCCCTAAAACACTGAGACAGGTGAGGTGATGTTGTGAGGAAAATAAAACTGAAGTTATTAGACAGGCTGGTTGATATGCTGTATGTTGAAGTTAGTAACATGTAGTTCATACTCTTTTGCTGGCAAAAGAAGTCGCCAGGCAAAAGCATGAAAAAGATCATATGATGCCTATATGTATGTGTTGCCATCTAGTGGGTGATCTGTGGCATTACAGCTCCCCACTGTTGGTCCCTCAGTCCACAGACTATTTTTCCTGTAATTGATGATTAGACGGTCAGTGGGCCTTCATCAGAGGGTCATTCAATGAGTCCTTTTTTCTCTGATTAGAGTGATTCCTAATAGAATGATGCTAAATGTCAATGGCTACTTAATGAGATCCTGCAATCTGGTTTTGACTTCTCGACCCTGACCGTGAATTACGTCTGGATGTGTTAGCAAAAAACGGAGGGCTGACAGAACAGCAGACAAAGCAGTCCATCTGGCTGAGTAGATAGGTTCATTGAAATTAGAGCTCTCATCCACATCTGCTGTTAAAGACATAAATAAAGAAGAACTATTGGTACAAAGGACAGTCAGAAGGACATCAACAAAGATTGCAATCAGATTTAGCAAGGCTTATGTTTGCTTTATACCTGCAGAGAAACATCACCTTTCATGCAAAGTGGACTTACAGTATATGTGAGTAATTCAGTGCCAGAGGAAGTGATTAGCGGTGTTTGCACAGTTTTCAGTGCTGTGTTCAAGATCATGTTTTTCTAACCAAGGACAGCCTAACAAGAGATTCTGCTCTCACTTTAGTGGTAAGTTTGGAAATAACACTCACACTTAATCTGCATTTTATAAATAGTGGAAATATTGGAAAAGATAAATAGTATGCGAATGGAGCAGTCTTATTTTTGCTTGTTGTCGAAATAGTTTTGAACTCTCACATTTTAACAAGTTTTCTGCAGAAAAACAGTCCATGTGGAGAGCAAAGAGATAAAATCTTTATTATTCATCAATTTAAGCGCTGTCAGCATGTGAGCGCACTATTGTATTATTCTAGCTCTCATTCTTAAATCTCAGGTCTTAGTCTAAAATGAGCAGCTACAGAAAAGTCGGCTGTGTGTTGAATATTTCCTGGACACACCTAAGGTCCCGAAATAAAGACCATTATCCATGAGGCGCAATTAATCATTCTACCTTATTAACCATTTTCTCATGGTGGCCCTTTTTTTGACACCATGCAGGATAGGAAGGTTAACTGAAATCGTTCATTGCTCTTTACTGTGCTGCTGTTTACCCATTTGTAAATCATAATAACATGAGCAATATAAAATATTCCAAAATCATTATTTATTGTTATTTTTATGCAGAAAAAAACAGCCCCTGTTTAAAGGACCCCAATTTTAATTCTTCCTTTTTATTCAACCAGTCTTGTTACACTGCCAAAGCCAGTACCGTGCTCCTTGTAGCTGTCTCAAGTCTGTTGTCTTCAATTTGGTTGATGTCTCTTTTACTCTTGGCTTTGAATGTATTAAATGTCTTTACTAGTTTCTTGAGTTTTTTCCTAGTTTCCAACACAGCTGGACATTAATCATACACAGTTACCATTTGATTCACAATCAGTGAAAAAGAAAATGGGACAGAGAAAACCGTCTAGGATATCTACCTCAAGATTAAAGACTATTGCCTACACTCATGGTCGCAGTTGAACCTAATGTTTGACAACAGCTGATGTTAGCTAGGATCTCTTTGCTAGTTTGTTTTCTAAAGTAGCAAAATTAAAACTTTAACTTTGCAATAGTTTCTACCACCAGAAGATGGGAGAGGCAAAAATGCTAAATTAAGAATTTCCCAAGATGGTTATGAAAACTTCTACTAAGTTCAGTTTACCAAGGAAAAAAACACTGTTTACTCTGTACAGCAGTTAAAATGCAGTTATGCAAGTGGCGGGTTTTTTAGTTATTACTGGAATACTTGGGCTTTTTAAAAGAGGCGCTTAATGCATTCAGAATAAATGACTCTAGTGTACAGACACTTGAGATTGATAGTATAAGCTGAACTCTAGCTTCCCTTCTATTAAACTTTTATTTTTGTCACAGAACAAAAAATACAAGACTACCAAATGTTTCTCAGTCAGCCTGGGTATTGTTTCATGTTTGTTTTTTTTCACTCAGAGAACCTCACTGAACTGCTGGGTGGCCAAAGTATTCGATACAAGTGTGACTTGAGTGGTTTTAAAGGCAACAACAGTTAAAGGCAGACAATACTAAAAACTAACTGCCTCTCAGGAGCTGAACATTGAAAAACAAACTCTTATCTTAACTCGTTCAGTACCAAGTCCATGTATGCAATTTTTACCCAGTGCCACCATTGACCGCAATAGAAATTTAAGTGTCTTTCAGGACCCACAGAATATCTTGTGCTTGGACTAGATTTAAGTGCAATATCTCAAAAGAAAGGGGTGATTCTCTTCTTTTTCAAGAAAAAAAGTTAGTCTCTAGTCCACTCCTGTGTTTAGTTATTGCCTGCTCAATTCAGCGTGGTCATATCATCATTGCCGATCTGGAAATAGAAACCTGGGAAAAACACATTTTTACGAAAGAGTGACTTTCAAGCAGCAGAACTCTGATCATCTATTTCATCTCACTTCAAACTACTTTACCAGTGGCATCAAGGTCCTCCCTCCTCGGACACCACTCCTCAACACTCTCTGGTTCCGACAGTGATAGGTCACTTTATGAGGGCTGGGAGTCGTATTGGCTCTTGAGAACCTGACGCTGCGACTGCTTGCTAGGACTTGTTGCTAAATTCAGGCTCAGTCTCGCTCACCAGTACCGGCACAACGACATCCCGAAAATTGTTTCTTTGATTGTCGGCTGATGATGTAAAGGTTCGATACTGGGATCTCCACTGGATTCAAAGACATAGCGCCCACAATGCACCGAGACCGTTAGCTCTTGGCAAATGACTTCAGCATTTTCCTACTCTCCTCCTGGAGAAAAAACACTCCACAACTAGGCTTATTGGCACAGTTCTCACTGGCAAGCACTTGTTTTTGTTATTGTAAACAGTTATGACATCTTTGTCGGCTTTTTTGCATTCAGAACGACACCAAACTTAGTTGCATGTTGGGTAGGAGCACCCTCTGGCGGAAAACAAAAAAATCTGTCAAAATCCGCCAATGGCACTCAGGGCAAATAAACAAATCTGTCCAAATCCATTATTGGTACTGAATGAGTTAACACCCAATGAAAAATCCAATGGAGGTTTTGTTGTATTTATTGTCCTTGTAAGGTTTATACATATATGTATTTCACTCTTTTTACAAAGCTCTGTTGATTTAATGCAACAAAGAAGGACTTTTTCCACACTTCTTAAGACTCACGGGCCTCCACAGACTAGACACGGATTCTCTGGCTCTCCCTGTATGCCCTGATTTTTGAGCTCAGAGGTAAAATGTTCCATAACTTTCCTCGGCAACTCTCGGCTGCTCATGGTTGTAAGGCAGTCTTTAGGAAAATAGGCCGTTGCTGCCCCAGAAACTTGCATGGATGCTTCTAGAAACAGAAAGTGAAAAAGTTAAGTGTAACTTTTTAACCTAACATCTTGCATGAAGTGCCACTGTATAAATATATAATGTGCTTTCTTTCATGCACAGACAGTTTAGAACATTAAAAAGTAATCAAATATAACTGCACTGAGAAAATCAAGAGTTCACATGAAGGAGACTGGAGCTGATGTTCACCGCAGAAATGACCGCAGGAACAAATTTACAAAAAACTCTGTTATCTGATAAATCAGCTTTACCATTGCACACAGCCAGTCTGTTTCCTCCTACGTACTGAGTACTCCATTTATACCCAGTCTGCTCGCTGCATTCATCATACACACGACTCCTCCTCATGAAAGCAAAATCATAACCCTGAGGGAAAGACAGAGGTAAGTTTAGGGTTTATGCAAATTTGTGATCTATTTAGAAAAGGCCTCTTCTGACCCATACATGTTGAAGAGTTGCGTGTTTCACTTACATCGTTGCACAAAGGTTTGCAGTATCTCTTGTGGGCAACAGTGACGCAAGCTAATCCTCCATTCTGGGGGACTTCAGCATCAGGACATTGCTTTGGCTCAGCTCCTTGACATCCTATAAATCATTGATGAGAAGAGACAAAAGATTCCGTATGTCAGGTGTACGTCTATGCTGACTGTTGTCTCAGTTTGCAGCCTTTTACTTGGGCTTTAATTTCCTTAATCTGAATACTTCGTGTATGTATGAAAAGCTGCAAAGAGTGAATCTGCAGAAACTATGCCCCAAAAAAAAAAGATCTTTGTCGATGATCAGAGCATCTTAAACAGAAGAAAATGTTTCTGTTTTTGAGGAAGTTTCACTTCAGTCAGTACCTCATCAAGTAGAATAAATGTGGTGACTCCTCTGCTATTTATGAACTCTCTTTCTCTCTGCAGCTACTAAGGGAATCGTTTTCATTAAGTCAGTGTTCTTTAGTCCTTGAAGTTATTAACTGCTGTAGCTTTTGTGTTAAGGAGGGGTATCAGGGCAGAAGACAAGAATATTACTCTTTAATTTATGCATTTATCGATTCATGAATTCATTCACTTAAAACTGAGAAAACAAAGATTCTTAACTGTCCTCTTTAAGTAAAGGAAAATACATATCAGATAATATTTTCCTTTTTTTAAAATGCTATCCTTAAAATTGTAGTTCTGCTTAGAGCTTCCATGACTCGATGTCAAAGCATCAATAGTGTAAGAGTTAGGCTGGTTAAGACTCAACTTTCATTAATAGTGAAAGCTGTTGTCTGGGTTTGCTGTTATCTCCTGTCAAAATCTCTCCTTTACCAGTGTTCTAGTTACTTTTGTGAAATTTCCCAGAACCCCAGGCTAACATCTCCTGCTCTGCTAGCTAACTACCTACCAAACAATTAACAGCCAGCCTTGCACCTAACATTAAAGTGTTTGCCACACTTAGCTATCTGCTCCACGAAGCGCTGTCTTGCTTTCTCCTTGTTTCTTTCTCTTTTCTTCTCTTTCTTTTCTCACTCCCTGATAAATAGCTTCACTTTATGGCTGATTTTTAAGGTACTTGTATTGACACACTTCAGTAAAGATAGACTTAGGTCATGGAACAGCTCCTTTTGGGGGGTATCCGTCTAAGATGTCATTGCAATTTGACCACTAGGTTGTTTTTTTTTTTTTTTTTTTTGCAATATTTCAGGACATTTTTGGGAAGTAAGGCTTGTCAGCCCTCAGGGGCCCCAAGCAACTGCCTGCTTTGCCTGTTGACATGCTCTGGCTCTTCCCATGAGGAACTCCCTGTTTGTGTTGATTTGCAGCGCTTGTGCAGTGCAAGTGCATGTTATGTGTTTGAAAAATAAAAATCACCTTGCATTCTTTTAATGGTCACTCATCATGCAAATTTGAAGAGGAAAAAGTTGTGGTTTTCCTCACTGTGTTGTAAACAGCCTCTTCTGTTACCCTGACAGTGGTTACAGACATTAGAAATGATCATGTAGAGCTGTCAATCTCTCTCTCTAATGGTTTTATTTGCTTTTGTAAGTCAAAAAGAGGCATCATCATAACTGGGTAAAATCACCTCCCAGTAGCTGTGGCTGAGCTTTAACATTCTGAATTTGTTTGGTGTCTGCTGAATTTATAACTCACAGGAACATCATGTTCTATTTATGGAGGGACTGATTTGGTGATCACCTGACAAGTCTGCTTGAGTTCTTGCATCACAGGGGTGTCAAAATGTCTCCCTATGGAAATGTGAAAGACTGGTGGAGAGCATGCCCAGACACATGGCTGCTATAATAAGATTTCAGGTTATCCTAGCATTAATTTTTGAGCTCTGAAGCTCAAACATTGGTGTTCAGTTGTGTAATGAATATTCATCTTTTTTTTTTTGTTTGTTTTGCATCATTTATAGTCTCAAAAATTACACAGCTATCATTTGATCATTTTCACCTGAGAGAAATTTTATACACAAGATCACTTGTATCCTCAAACACAAACTTTTGAATAGTGGAGCAATCAAAATATTTTTTGGAACAGTCTTGAGATTTATTCTTGAGTTGAGAATATATATACACTACAGGCCAAAAGTTTGGAAGCGAGATCAGATTTGTACAAAAAAAGATTATAGTTTCATATTTATAATTTGCAACACAATAAACACGACTATTGTGTAAAGAGTAACTTATCAGAAGACATTTTGACTATAATTCTTAGGTATTTGAGTTATTGTTGCTTAGACTTTGCTTTCTTCAAAGTAACCTCCTCTGGCTCCAACAACAGCTTGGCATATACCAGGCATTCCTTCCACAAGTTTTTTAAGGTATGTTCCAGGGATTGCATTCCAAGCTTGGTTACGTCCATTAAAATGAGACTGTTGATTCATGGGACGCGTTTTTCTGACTGATCGATCCAATTCATCCCGCACAAGCTCAATTGGAGAAAGGTCTGGAGACTCAGCGCTTCACACAGCCGGACGCTCAGCGTCTGCTGACTTCAGTGTGGAAGCTCAAAGTGGGTTGTTCCAGCAGCGAAACTAGACGCTCATTGGATAAATGCTGGGCTTTGTCCCGCCCATCGGACGCTCGGCGTCTCTGGAGTTCTATGGCGAGAGGGCGGTCCCGACTTTCTCCCAGACTCCGAGCTTCTGCATCCATGATTGGATGAGCTGTCTGAGGCGAAATCCTTTTTTGATTGACAGCTAAACAAGCGAATCAGCGATCTTGAAAAATAAAACATCTACCAAAGCATTTTCCAAGTTAACTGCTTCGGAGACTTTACCGATCCTCAGCAACTTTTGTCTTTGTTCAAAACGACTGCCGTTGTGTTTGGCGACTCTGTTCTGTTACATACAGAGAGAGATTAGATTTGAAAACTTTATTCGTCTCTTGACTGAGCCGTATTAAAACCTACCTCAGTGTCGCTTTTCAGGTTCAACTGACTGTCAAAGAAGACAGTAAGATATTTGTATAATTGGTGAATCTGAATTTGCTGACCCTTTTTTTAACTGAGGAAACCTCCTCCCTTATTTTAATTTGAAATCAATATCAGCTTAAAGGTTTCCATTACACCAACTTATAAAGGATTTGATCTCATTTAGAGGAGAGAAAAGTTCCAAACCCTGCCCTCAGGGATCGTGAACAACTTTGGTGAGATCACACAGCTTTTGTAGATTAAATCCATGGATCTTTAGAGATAAAGTGTTAGAACTCAATCTTTTGCTGGACTTGGATCGCAGGGACCCCTCTCTCTAATGCAACAGGAAGGGAGGTGAAACAGACTTTCTACAGCTTTGAATGTTTTACAGGCAAGGTCAATACCAGAGTGGCGTCTTCTGAGGATGACAGGATGCCAAAACTGTGCCTTTAGTCATCATTGAATGAAAAAGGAGATAAAACTGTGTCTTGCAAAGCTCCTTATGCCTGGCATTAATACTTTAAGTACATTTTCTTTTTAGTCTCTGTTCAAACAAATACTGAGACAAATCAGAAACATGGTGGGTAACTGCAGTGCATTAATTTAAAGGACTTATTTAAATCAATATTCCTTGATTTTTCAGCTTTGCACAATGTGTTATATCATCCCTTTATCATGTTCTTTACTCTGCACCACCTCCTCAACATTTTAAGTGTAGGGTTTGGTTAAAATGCTTGGTCTTAACTCACAAAAAAAACTTTCCTCACACTTGTTTATACACTTACAGAGCTCACACAAACACATCTGTGGGTTGTCTGTCCTCCTACCTTTAAGCTGTTGTCTGTGCAGAGCGTCGGTCGCATTCTTCATGTAGACAAGCAGTAAGAATGTCTCCTCTACACTCAGGTTTTCACCACACCTAGCTGTCTTCTGTTTGTTAAAATCAAACACAATGTTGGTTTTCCTCATCTGACACCAAAGCAAAATAAAAGCAGAGAACACAAAAATTCTGACGCACACTTGCAGCTTCGTTGCATCTTCATTGCTTTACCTTGAGAAATGCTGGTAGTAGCTCAAAGAACTCAGGTGTTAAGTTGCAGCCTTGGTATTCTGTCTCATTATGATCAGATGCAGTGAAAGCAAAGGCTGTGAAAAAACACACATTTTATCCATCTTGACCTTTTTGCCTCAGTCTATTCCTTCTCTTTCACGGAAAAATATACATGAAAAAGAGAGGCACAAATATCCAGTGAAACCTTGACATTACCTGCAAATGAGCAAAGCCAAATGAGTGTCCACTTTAAAGCCATAGTGACCAGAGTTGTGTTTTTCTGGCCCAAAACTAAGAGCAGAAAGTGGTGACAGGTACATGTATTGACTCAGTCGACAGGGCGAAGTTTACAGAATTGGTCAATAATATGGTCTGCAGCCAAGCATTTACTGTTGTGGAGAAATTTCCCAAACATCCATTCCCATCTCATGATGTAACATGAACTTTGGCTCTGTAGATGTTTATAAAAAGGTTTTATCTGGAGTTCCATCTATTATTTGTCTCAACCCTGGTTTCCCTCTGTAACTGCTCCTCGCACTTTGTACTGTATGTCCCAGCTCTGCACTGCTGGGGGAGCTGGCAGTACACGCACATTTGTGTGATTATCCTTTGTACCGTTTGTCTTCTCACAGATCGTCACTACTACTCTTAGTCGTGAGCTCATTATAGAGCCAAATGTCAGTATGAAACCTACACACTCACAAACACACACCAGACACACTGGGTGACTCAGTGTCAGTCAGTAAGTTGTGCCAAGAAGAATGACAGTGTAAATAATTCACTGTGGGTGTTATTCATTATGGATGTCTGACAATCTGGGGGAGAATGAATTATTGAAGCTTTCAGAAAAAGTTGTTGAAGCTCATTAACTTGGAGAATTGCCTTTTCATGTTTGATTTGACGAACAAAGATTAGTCCTGGAGAATGGACCTCAAGAGCTGTCATACTGTTTTTTTTCTGATAAGTCCCCTCATGTTCTGAGATTCTGCCTTTTTATTTTGAGTTCTTCACTCTCGACAGAAATAATAGAAAGTGTTCTTTAACTTAACAATGACATGAAGTACACAGTGTGCGGCATGCACAGTTCACACGTGGTCGATGCGTGTTTCACCTTCATGACACAGTATGTACTTAAACACGACTTGCTTTGCACATTTCTTATTTGAATAGGAAATGTTGGTTTGTAGGCCTACATCCAATGAGTTTATGATTTTTATGTTATTCATTACTTTGGTGGAAGCTACTTTTTTTTCTGCAAAGTTCATCAAGAGATGTAATAAAAAGAAAGTAATCCAACAACCATTTATCTGCATGATGTTTTTAACAAGTTGAAATAACTGTAGCCTTGCAGAATAATAAAAGATCAAACCTGCATGTAGTAGTTTCAGGGGCTGTCATTCATAATGTGCAGCTGTATGAAACTTGTGCATTTCTTTTAGCTGTGTTTTATTCTTGTCAACATTAACTGACTGTTGTCTACATTTGTTTCAGATGATCAGTAGTTTAAAGACTCTGTGATAGGTTGTCACTTTTTACTCTAAATTCAAAACTTCATTTAAACTTTTGGGAACAAGTTAATATTGGAACTATAATAAGCAGTTCAAACTCCTAATAAAGCATTATGCCAGCGTATACAGCTGCCTGAAGTAGCTTGCAGTTTTATCTAACAGAGGGCGTTCTCATTGTAACCTGGCCAATCTATGTACCACTTATACAGTGTTGATATTGTACAAAAATGGAGGACATGATTAAGCAAAGGCTCAGTGTGTGGACATTTATGACACCAAAACATCTGAGAAGCACTGTGTACAAACAGTACAGATTCAACATTGTACACAGAAAAGTTAAATACAAAGAAAAGGCTTTAAGTGGAGTTTGTACAAAGCTGACCCGTCAAGAACAGTAAATTTGCGGGCTCACTCGATGGCTTGCCACCCACTTGAAGTGGTGGCATGAAAGTGTTCACCTTTATATGACTGCCTTTTTCAAGGTGGGCCCCTCTTCAGAGGATTATAGAAAAATACCTATTTAAATGTATTCAAACATTTGCACATAATATCTGATGGTTATTCAAAGTTGATATTAAAAAAAAATACTGACAGCCCTACTCTTGGGTGATTTGAGTCAGGCCATCAAAAGCCTGGAGGGGGTACCAGGAGACAGGCCAGTTCTCCAGAAGAGAAGAGGTGGAAAGGGGCCTTAGGGGGGCAAAGACCCAGCAGCAGGACTGCTATCTGCTTCTTTGTGCAAAGAGAAACAGGGGGAAGTGCTGCCAGTGCAACGCAAAATTACCACCAGCAGGCTACTTGAATGTTTCTGTCCAAACTGTCTGAAACAGACTCTGTAATGGTGGCATAAGGGCCCCATGTCCACAAGTGAGGTCTGTGCTCACAGTCTGGCAGCATCCAGTTTGGTTGTGGATTCGTGATTGTTGGAGGAGCCAGATTACCAGAGGGTTCACACCTCCATGTGTGAGCCAGAGGTACCTTAACTGCTGTTAGGTACCGGGATGAGATCCTCAGACCCATTAAGACCATATGTTGGTGCAGTGGACCCTGGGTTTCTTTTGGTACATGACACCAACCAGGATGGAGAACGTTAGCAGTCCCTGGATGATTAAGTCATTGATGCTGGTGACTGGCCTGCTTGATCCTCAAACCTGAATACAGTCAACCACCTCAAGGACATAACCTACTGTTGCATCCACCACCATCACCACCATGACGCACTACAGACTGTTAAGGAGCTGCCTGATGCCCTGATCTGGGTCTGGGAGGAGATCCTTCCTCCCATCTTTAGTCATCAGGAGCATGCTCAGATATTGTAGGGGACACCCTTCACACTCCTGAGCCACATTATTTGTCTTAAAGAAATTTAGAAGAGTTGCATCAGCCTGTCATCTCATTTATCCACTTTGGTTTGGAGTGTGATTCTGAATGCAGTCCTTGGTGGTTAATGATTTTGGTTTCATTCTTCCGTTATTTGGTTCTCAACAAATTTCACTGTCATCAATAAAAGTTTTCAACCGGAATATTCCATTCATCGAGATCTGGGATGTGTGACCAAAGTGTTCCTTTTTTTCTTTTTCAGCAGTGTATTTGCACAAGGGCCCATCACAGATTTGTTGTGGTCGTGACTAAAGAGAAAGGTCCCTGAAGCGCAACGGTGTAAATCCTTTGCCTGAAGGCTTATTCAAATCTCTGCATGAAATTCACTTTTATCCCATATTTGTTTTCAGCTGATGATATTTTTGGTGTACTCAAGAGAGACAAGGTCCTTTTCAGAGGTTGAGAAATATTTCATTGGCTTTTAGAAGTGATCACATGTACTGTATAAGCCCATATTTGTGAGGTGGATCTTGACATAGTTCATAGACACAAAAGTTAGAGGAGATATTACGATTCCTCCACTTTTTCAGAGTAAGAAACTCTTAAATTAAGGGTCAAATTACACATTGATTATTCTACAGGCATCATATGGGATAATAGAAACTTGGTAGTACACAAAGAGAGGTGAGATTGGGTCTTATTTCGGGGTTTGTTTGAGAGAAGTCCTTGAGTTTTAGATTTCAAAATTTGCTTCTAAATCTGTTTTTTATTCCACTGTGTTTGTTTTTTACCTGAAGGAGACATCATTGAAATTCTTTTTATTTTAAAAAGTTCCCAATAATCTGATTCACAGTCTCCTTGATTTTATAAAAATCACAGCTCCTGTTCAAAGGCACAGACTCATAGGTGAATACAAACCCACAGTGTGCCATCCACACATCTACAGACAGACCTACAGCAGCGCATTGTTACTGTGTGGTGTAAAAGGGATGATGAATGGTGTGTGTGATAGCAACATGCTTTCCTCTGCTGTCTAACCTTTCTAAAATAATCGTGACATTCTCCCCACGGTGCTCCTTGGCTTGTTTGCCTCCCTCAGAGGCATTGTGCTGAATTAGCCAGCCGTGGAAAATGGCTACTCCGTTGTCAAACGATTCACACGGCTAAGCCGCAGACACCCCGACAGAGTCGAAGCTAATTGGTATTCAGGAGGGCTCTGTGCCACCTGTATCAAATACTTTTTTTCTATTTGGGAGGATCACTGTGCCTCGAGGGAACATTTCAATGCAATCACAGCTGAGGAATAGTTAATAGCATCTATTAGTTCATTTTAATTACCCCTTTGCTTTTATCAAGGGGCTGATTTACTGTCTTAACATACAGAAACCACAGCGGTTGCACATCATTTGGTGGTGCAACACACTGCCTTGTAAGAGATTCTGGAAGATTAATGTGCAAATGCCTTTCGAATCAAAGGTTTAACACTGATAATCAACTCTGAGCTTGTAAAGATACAAACAAACTGATCTTGTCGGTGGAAAATAGCTTCTCTGCCAATACAAGAATCAAAGGAAGGAAAGAGATACAAGCAGGGAACAGGGCAGTTGCAAGTGGGCCTGATAAATCCAGCTGTGCTGTATCAAGCCAACAGAAGGCTCTGAATAGAGGCTCTCTACCCCTGGTATCACCAAATCTCAAACATGAATTTGCAAACTTGTGACAGAACAATGCCTGCTGGTGGGATGAGAAAAGCCTTTGAAAAGTGTGATAGTTGGCTGGCAGCTGCACTCATCCTTCAGATCCTGTTTTTCCCTATTGCTTTTGTTGGGCGTAGATAATTGGCTATACACAAAGTAGAAACATTTCTACCTGCTCCAAGGATACAGAAGTGGTGTCACTTTTTTTTCTTTTCTTTTTTGTTTTTTCTATTTTTTTTTTTTTTGATGGAGGTGGGGGGGCTCATGCTTTTGGATTGGGTTTTGGTCCTGACCATAGACTGTATATATAGAGTGGACGCTGTATGTATATAGAATGGACGCCTCCTCACTGTGTGAAGCCACCCGAGGAACAGCACCCTCTGGTGATGGGCTGCAGTATAGATCATAAATCCCACATCCTCCAGCAATCCCTATGGCGCTGTGGACAAACTTTAGAAATTAATTACACAGAGTATACATACCCCCCCGCTTGCGATGTTGACATGTAGTTACTGTAAGACTGGTTTGTGTTCAAGTTCTCTTTTTTTCTGTGCAGCTACATTTTTAAAAGTTGTAAGGAGGTTCATGTTTTCTACGATTGACAGTTGCATTGCTCACCCAGGGGATACGCTGTTTGAGCCAAAAGTCATCACAGTGACTTTTGGGGACTCTCCCGCAGAATGCATACAACACTACTGCACAAGTGGTGAGAACCCTGACACAAAGCAAATCAGTCCTGCAACAAACCGGTTCTTCACAGTGATGATCTGCTATCAAGAAACGAAATAGACCCGGTTTGTAAAGACCAATCAGAATCAAGTATTTTACACCATCAT